GCCATGGAAACCTTCCTGCCTCCTCCACTGAGATCATGGAAGCCACACCTCAGCAGCAGACTCCTCTGAACTCACCCTGGGCGGACTCACTTTGAACACAAGAGACATGATCTCACCATGGGATGCACGTGGCCTTCAGTCGCCTTCGGAACACAAAACTTTCGCTTCTCTTCTTTATGTTTCTGCCACTGACAATTTGTTCCAGCTTTGTCTGCTCTGCGCCCTCTGTGATCCCTCTTTCACTGCAGTTCACGACCTTTTGTGTATAGGATGAACAAAGGGCACAGGCTAAAAATGTCATCACAGTTGGGCCTCTGCTCTTCCACTGACTTCACTGGTTTGCTATTAAAAACAGGCTCAAGCTCAAAGTCAGACCAAAGAAGAATTTCTGGGTCATCAGAGTCTAGGAATCTCCAGAAGATGGTGCAGAAGCAATGTGGAAGAGGACATAAGTGTTTCTTTTCATCAAATTCAAATCATGAATCTGTCGTGGTGCCTGCATACCACCTACATGGTACTTAGCAGTCATTTGCTTTGTATGAAAGAACAAGAGAAAAAAAACCCATCAGGCTGGCCCACTCTTGGCAGGGGTGGGAGGGTAGAAGGGAGACAGAAAAACACCATCAGCTGTGGCAGTGAGCTGTGTGTATTTACATTTCGCAGGCTGAACTATTTAGTGGTTTATTTACACACAATGTTCTTGGAGCAGCTAAAATGCCAGTTGTGTTTTATCTCGATTTTGTGGCAACGCGCATAAGCCACAGAATCATAGGAAGAGTCTGCAAATGGGAGACGAACCTCCTACATCTGGAAAAGCACATGAGCCACTGTGAGAAAGGAGAGAGATTTTGGGAGCACAGGCACAACAAGGGCTGAAATGCATTGGTTATGACAAGACACCAAAATACAACGCAGGGACTCGAAAGCAGCGACCCAGTCACAATGCAACAGCTCGTGCTGCAGGGACTGCACATGCCAGGGAAACCCTCAGAGCCAGCCCGCGGCACGGCACAGCAGCCTCGGGTCCCTCCGGCTGCCCCTCCATGTTAGAGTGAGGAGGGAATTGCAGTCAGCTCCATTTTATGCACATTTGATGGCAAGACGCCAACACAACTGTTGACTGAGCCAAATCTGGGCCCCCTTGAACTAAGCCATCACCTAAAGCAGGGTGGAAAAGCACATGCCTCTCGCCTTCCCAGCAGCCAAGTTCCTGAAAAGCATCCCAGTTACAACAAAGATTTTTCCTTCTTTCCTCTGACAACAACTGATGCTTTAACTCTTTTATGCACACTCATTAATTTGAAATGAAACAGCTAACAGGAGCTGCGTTGTACAGCAGTGGGGTGGAGAGGCTTCCTCCCAGCGAGCCAAATGATTTACTGGCTGGCCCAAATGGCAGCTGAGGCCAGCGCCCGATCCGGAGGGCAGCTATCGTCACACTCTGCAGCCTGCTCCCATCCTCGCCAAGGTGCCAGTGGCTGCCTTCCAACTGGAACCGTATTCCAACAAAAGGGAGTGCAGGACAAGCTTGGGAAAGCTTTCTGATCCCTTCGGTTCACTTCTTCCCTCCAAGCCAGTGTCTGGTGGGAGCTGCCAGCACGCTGGGGAATTGCATGGAGAGCATTGCCACTCTGGGAATTCACCTTCCTGAGCAGGTACTGCTCCAGAGCCGTGCCTCTGCCTCACAGCAGAGAAATCCCTCTGCTGCCTTCTGCTTTAATTATATTTCAAAACCTCAGCTTCCAGTCTGTGTTCCATGCCATTATATTAATAGCAATAATTAAAAATACTTCAAACAACAAGTCCTCTAAACCTGCAGTTCCATCCAGGCTTTCTGGCACCGCACACTTCCTTTCCTGACTGCCATCCTCAGGGAGCCAGATTGATGGTTGCTCTGCTCCATCCCTGCAGCAGGGCTGTGCTGCGTTCTCTCAGCACATGTAAGCTGCAAGGTAATATTTGTATTGGCAACTTCCTTACATACTTTACAGAACCAGACCTCCATTTGACCCTCAGTGCAGCTCCCACACACAACTTGGTCCACTCCTTATGAACCATCTCCTCTTGCTGTAACACATGCTCCATACCATACCTCTGTTTCCAGCCTGTTTAAAAATTACCTATCTTGAACAGAGCTTTTGTGCTTCAACTGTGCACCTTAGCTATAAAAGCCAAGCTTCAGAACACTCTTATGCAAGAACTCCAAACAAAATTATTATAAAATCTGCATATACAGGTCTTGGTTGTCCTTCTCCCAAGATTGCTCCAACTGAAGCAGTCATTTTTATGAAAAAATGAGAACTGTGTAAAGTTCTGTGCAAAAAGACATCAACATCCAGGTTTTATGGTCAGAATCCAATAGCTGTACTGTTCTTTAGGGGACTAGTGGGGATGTTGGGGGTTTTGTTTAATATCAGCTCCATTGCAGCTCTTCAGGCAGTAACACCAGAACAGACTTTCACACCAGAGATCCTTCCTCCTTACCCAAAGCACACCAAGCAGAATAAAAGATAAGCCAACAAAGTAACGTGTCCAGATAACCCAATGAATTCCCATTCCCCATCTGTGCCGCAGCACACATCATCAGCAGCTCCATTTAACGCCAAGAGAGCCAAACCCGAATGAAAGCAGCGCAAGAAGAGGGGAGATGCGAGTGGCACAGGGCGGCGAGGCAGCTGCAGCGCGAGCAGGCACCGTGCAGAGCAGCATGTGACAGCAGCAGCCGCGGGGAGCTGCAGCTCCCACCGCCCCAAAGCCTGCCCTCCACCACCACCCGCTCCCCACGCACGGCCACTCGGGCCAGAAGCTTCTCGACGTTTTGAATCGCTGCGCTCCGTTTGTACGACTTCCCTCCACAAAATCAAACAGGGACACAGGAATCATTAACAATGAGCTGCATGTTCCTCCTGCTGGAATGCACTTCCAGCATCTTTATCACTTGTAGATCGACTTTCTCAAAAGAGCACAGAACACGGTATCATTCTTACACACAGAGCAAAGCCCAACTAGACATCATTGTGATAAAATATTCCCTGGTTTGGAAGGGACACGGACTGCCAACTGAATGTTGATAGTGTACTGTAGCTACATTTCAAGACAGAACAATGATCGCATTCTCCTCTGTAGAACAACAAAATATTCCCTCTCTCCATATAGTTTCTGTGAACGGTTTTTCTATTTCCTGCACTAAAGGACCTGGCCACCACATTGGTGACTGTCTGTATTGCTCTGGCAGCCCAGCATGACTGGGGAATAACGCTCTCTGCTCATGCTGAAGTGACTCACTCTTTCATTTAACATACATCGTGGTCCAATTCATCCAAACATCTTGAATGAGACTGTATTAATCTGATCTGAAAATGAAGCCTCTTTTTTCTACACATACGATCCCCAGCAGGGCACCTGGCTCCCAAAGTGCTTCCTCCACCACGCCAGGGACAGCACAACCACCTCACCACGGGGTCAGGCGGGGTGAGGAGACCCCAGGCAGGAACTGCACCTGCAGATCCCACAGCAAGACCCACACCAGGATGATTTTCTACGATTTGCAAAGCCTGCTACCACCAGAGCAGTCCTGCTGCCCGCAGGAGCGGAGGGAAGCACACACATTCTGGGAATCTCACTCACATTTTAGTCTTCATATGGTCCCACAGCGCTGCTTTGCATTAGCTGGACAAGATGCCATAAATTACAGGTTGTGTTTGGATAGCTCGTGCAAAATCCAGATATTATTTTTTTTTTATATTAAAGGGTCCATTTTGCAGGTTGGAGGACTAGAAATGCTTGGCCCAGACAGAGCTAAAGCATACAAGCCTGGAGTCTGGTTATTAAATGACAGCTGTGGAACTCAGACACTGGTGAAAACAGGTCCTGTTCTGTGGTGGGAGATTAGATCTAGCGCTGAAAACCTGCAGTCTTGATCTTGAATGTTTTAACAGGTAATGGAAATTTTTACAAGGCAAGAAATTTGAGGGGATGACACAACATAACAACCATCCAGCTTCTGTCCCCAAGGGCATCTCATGTCACCCATTGTCCAAGACCCCTCTCTGTACAAAACCAAATAAAAATTGGTGACAAGGGAACCGCTGCGACGGAAGTTCAAAAGCACAACAAACCCATGACGATGCCACCAAACCGGCAGCTTGGATACCCAGCACTGCACAGACTGCTCCCGTAAAATCCTGCAGCGTTCCACCCCAGCGGGCTGGTCCGCCGGTGCCGAACGCCGCTACCTGTCAGCGGCTGCTGCACACCGAGAGCCGCGGCCACGGCACACCGACAGCCCGGGCTGCTCCACACCGAGAGCCCGGGCTGCTCCACACCGAGAGCCCGGGCTGCTCCACACCGAGAGCCCGGGCTGCTCCACACCGAGAGCCCGGGCTGCTCCACACCGAGAGCGGGCCGGAGCGGGGCAGGCGCTGCCGGGCGGTCCCGCTCACCGTCCGCACCCGCCGGTCCCGAGCACGGTCCCGGTCCGGGCGCGGCCGCAGCGCCGCCGAGGTTCGGGGAGCGCGGCTGCCGCCTCGCGCCGGTCCGCGCCGGCCAGCCCCGCCCCCGTGCGCTCCTATTGGCCGCGCGCCCAGACTAACGGCGAGAAGGCGCTCTGATTGGCTGCGCCGGCCGTCAATCGAGAGGCTCCGCCCCGCCGCGCGCTGCCGGTGAGGCGCGGCGGCTGCTTGGATACGGCGGCGGCGGCGCCGCGGGGAGCGAGACCGGCCGGCCCGTCTGTCTGTCTGTCCGTCCGTCCGTCCCGCGCGGCCGCCTGCGCACACGGCCCTGCCCCTGCTCCGCGGTGCCGCTCCCGCCCCACCCGCCATCACGTCCCCATCACTGCCGGTGTAAGAGTGCCGCACCTCGGCCAGCGCGAGAACACCGGCTGCGCCCTGCCCGGGCTCCGGCGGCGGACAGAGAGCGGGGGCGGCCGCCGCAGCGGCGAGCGGCTCCCGCGGGGCTGCAGCCCCAGCGCCCGGGGCCGGCCGAGCCTCCCGCCCTGCCTGTCAGCGCCGCGGCCGCACCACCCGCGGGGGGCGCGGCTCCTCCCCCGCCCAGCGCGCCTTGGTACGGTCCGCCCGCGGCACCGCCCCTCTCCCTGCGCCGCTTCCGCCTTTCCGCCCCGCGCCGCCCGCCATGGTGAGAGAGCTGGGCCGCGCGCCGGGAATCCGCCGGCATCGCGGGGCAACGGCACCGGGATCCGCCGGCATCCAAGGGGAATGGCACGGGGATCCGCCGGCATCCCGCGGGAGCGGCACCCGGGGATCCGCACCCGGGGATCCGCCGTCATCCCTGGGGAACGGCACCCGGGGATCCCCACCGGGCCCGCATCTCGGCGCCGCGGGGGCTGAGGGTGGGCGGGATGCGGGCCCGGGGCTCGGGCGGGGGCACTGACGGCCTGTCCTGGCCCGCAGGCCAAGATCAAGGCCCGAGACCTGCGCGGGAAGAAGAAGGAGGAGCTGCTGAAGCAGCTGGAGGACCTGAAGGTGGAGCTGTCGCAGCTGCGCGTGGCCAAAGTGACCGGCGGGGCCGCGTCCAAGCTGTCCAAGATGTGAGTGGGGCCGGGAGCGGGCAGGGCCGGGGCAGCGGGCAGGGCCGGGGGAGCGGGCAGGGCCGGGGGAGCGGGGCAGGGCCGGGGGAGCTTGGCAGGGCTGCCGGGGCCCTGTGTGCCGTGCCCGGGGGCTGCGGTCGCAGGCTGTGCTGGCGGTGCGCGGTGAGAACAAACCCGAAAACCCGCTGGCAGAGCGGCACGGCTCGGCAGGCCCGCGGGCCGGGGAGTGCCGCTGCTCGGAGCCGCTGCGGCGCTGGCTGTAGCGGGGTGCAGTGTGAGGGGTCCGGGGCACACGTGCTCCGTACCCCGGGTCGGTCCCTGCAGGCTGTGCTCACACCCCTCTTTTTCCCACCCGCAGCCGCGTGGTGCGCAAATCCATTGCCAGAGTGTTGACTGTCATCAACCAGACCCAGAAGGAGAACTTGAGGAAGTTCTACAAGGTAAGGACAGCCCTTTTCCATAAGTGGCCTTTACACTCTTGCCATTCACAATGACAAAGTTCGTGGGAAGAATTGCTACTTAAAAGCTTAAAACTCGATGAAAAACTATATTTTATGTTCAGTTTAAAGTTCTCTGCTCATGGTTGCTTTTTAGCTTTTTTTTTAATTAGTGCAAGAGTTCTGCAAGCTTGGTGTGAGTCTGCTTTTGCAGGAGAGTCCTCTGGCAGCATCCCTTCTGTGGGGTGGGTGGACTTGCTGGGATGCAGAAATGGGTTTGCAGAAATGCAGATACTCTTACTTTCAATTTATTCATCTCACAGGTGACCAAGAATTCTTTAATTCTGTATGGTTCTGTAATTATTAGAATATCACTTCCTGCAGTTTGAATTAGATCATATTGAGTGGGGAAAAAAGATCTTTTCAGGAGGTGCTGGATAAGTGGGGCTTGTAAGATTCGGCCTTACTTAAACCTGAGTGAGAGCTGCTACAAAAGTCACAATCCACTGGTGTGGGGAGGAGTCTCCTGAGCTCCAGCTGCAGTGATAGTCCCAGGGAAAGGGGCTGGGGCAGGAGCTCAGCTGCTCTATCTTTGCAAACAGGGCAAGAAGTACAAGCCCCTGGACCTGCGGCCCAAGAAGACGCGGGCCATGCGGCGCAGGCTCAACAAGCACGAGGAGAACCTCAAGACCAAGAAGCAGCAGAGGAAGGAACGATTGTACCCGGCCAGGAAATTCGCCATCAAGGCATAGCCCAGAGCCAGCTGCACCAGGGCTGGCCTGGCTCATTAAATGCAGTTTGGATGGAAAGTGTCACTGCTGGTTTCTTTGGGGGTGGTGGGTAAAGAGCCCATAGAGCCCATCAGCTTGATGGAGGGAAATGGGAGGGTTCACACCAAGTGTTTGGATTGGATGGAAAGTGTCACTGCTGGTTTCTTTGGGGGTGGTGGGTAAAGAGCCCAAAAAACCATCAGCTTCATGGAGGGAAATGGGAGGATTCACACCAAGTGTTTGGGCTGCGACTGCTAATGGAGATACAGACCTGGCAGTTTATTTTCCTCTGAGGAACAGGCAGTGGATGGGTACAGGTCTGTGAGGCTGGTTCGTCCAAACGTGCAAGAAGTATTTGACAGTTTAAAATCTTATCTTGTGCCAGTGTTGAAGGGTTACTAGAAAAAAGTTAATTAGTTGAGGGATTTTATGGGACATCATGGAAACTTGTCAGCACTGGGTTCAGATCCCTGGGCAGCTCCCAAGAGCCCCCTGGGGCAGGGGATGGTGTCAGACCAGGTGGGTGTGGGTGCTGCTGAGGGCAGGAGAGCTCAGGGTGTGAAAAAGGTCTGAGCTCCCAGGGCATCCGTGGCCTCACAATTCCACACTTCTTTATACCTGCAAAGCACAGCACGGGTTAAATGGTTTGTCTTTGTCCCCCATGGAGTACTTTGGGACTCAGGGATGGAGCTGCAGTTCCAAAAGCCTTTTTTGGTCCTGATTGTGAGGAAGAGTTCCACAGTGCTGCTGGAGCGTGAGGGCTGCAGCACTCATGGTTTCTATTAGTGCAGCCAATGCACTCGAACATAAAAAATTCCCTATCCATTAGGGAGTTCCTAGATTGGATCCAGATTCTGTTTAGGAAAAAGATCTTAATTCTGCTCCCTCAATTAAGGATTCTTAAGCCTCCAGCTAGTTTTATCCAGGGAGGCCTAGTCCCCTGCCGTGCAGGGAATTTCCCCTACATGGCGGCATTGCGAGGGGTGGCTGTGCTGTGATGTCACCTGGGCTGTGCCGTGGCTTTGTCCCCGTTTGGAGCAGGGTGGATGGGACGTGCCTGGCAGCGAGAGGAGCCGGGCTGGCACAGTGCTGGGCCAGGCGAGCTGCGTGTGGGAACGGCTCCTGGGCTGGGCTCTGCTCCCAGGCAGGGTCACAGGGCTGTGTGTCTGTCCGGGTGTCCTGCTGGGGCTGGCAGAGCTGCTCCAGGGGAGCAGGAGCACCCCGTGAGGATCCCAGATCTGCTCACTCCCGTCCCAGGAGCCTGGTGCCAGATGGAGACAGGAGCATGCCCTGCGCTGGGAGCGGGGCAGGCTGGGGCAGGTGGCTGCTGCCAGATCCTGCCTGGCTGCCTTTGGGCTGCTCTTTGGAGAGCTGTGTGCCCTGTGCTGCTCCAGCATTGTGGCTGAGGGGAGCCTGGCAGCTCTGCCAGCATTCCTGACAACACAGCAAAGCAAACACGGCCTGAACTGTGCACTGCAGAGATGGTGACAGTGTCAGGGTGGCTCCAGGTGGCACCTTCCACCCCAGCCACAGGAGCAGCTGCACTGCTGAGACAGGATCTGCTGTCTCAAGGATCCAATAATCAGTACAGATCACTGGCATGCCAGTCAAGAGGGTGGGAAACACAAAAACAGGGAAAACCCCAACTGAGCAGGCACTGAACATCAGGAGCCATCCCCATGCTGAAGTGGGAGGCAGTACTGGAGAACAGCTCAGGCTTCAGGTTGTGCACAGCCCACAGCAGCTGTTTGAGGAGTGAGCATGTTTCTGGCACTGCACTAAATCCTGGGGCTGAATTACTCCATCCACCCACAGCTCTGTGACAGAACCAACCAGTCTGGCCCTTCCTTCAGAACTGCCCTGTGCTGTCACAGGAGACATCCTGCAGACAAGCAGCCCTTTAAGTGACCAGGAACAACAGAGTGATTGAGAGGACACAGAGGTGAAGTGATGAGCTTCCTGCAGGGCACAGGTGGAGAACACTTGTTCCTGCCGTGAGAGCAAGGCAGAGCCTGTCCTGGCTGGGGTCTCCGGTGGTCTGTGCTGGTTCCCTCTGTACCAGCCAGCCCCAGAGGGTGCCCATGCTGCCCCAGTGGCCCCTGTCCCCCTCTGCTGCCCGGCTGTGGGTCGGTGTGGGACCCTGCCCTGCTGCAGCCAGCCCTGGCTTTACACTGGCGTTTGCAGAGCTCAGAGCTTGGAAACTCAAACTGTTTATTTGCTCCTTGTAACTGAAGATGTCCCTCAGCACTGCAGAGGTTTCCTGGGAAAAGACGTTCCTCAACAAATAAATAATTTCCCGGGTGGGGATGAGGACGGAGGAGCAGCTGCTGGCTGGCTGCAGGGCACGGCCCAGGGCTGGTGCTGCTGCACAGGGAGCCCTGGCCCCGAGCCCTGGAACGCTCCCAACAGGACCAGATGTTTCTGCCCAGCACAGCGGGACCGGCCCGGGGCGGATGGTGTCAGTGGGAGCTGGCAGCACCCACTCCTGGACCCATTCTGCATCTGGGGGCTGGGGGAGGAGGGGCTGCAGGGGCAGAGGCAGATGCGAGCTGTGTAATCAGAGTCCTTCAGGATGGAAAACACCCTCATGATTGAGTCCAACTGTAAACCAAATATTGCTGAGGAAAGCCGAGGACCCACCTCCCTTGGCTGATGTTTGCTGCGATGGACACAATCCCCAGGTCTCCTCATGCTCCTGGCATTGCTCCTGTCACTGCTCCTGTCACCTCCTCCTTCAGGACAGTCCTTGGCTGCTGCCCTGAGCGCTGCCACAGGGCTGACCCTGGTTTCTGCTCACAGTGGGACATGGAGGGACATGCCAAGTGCAGGGAGCTTGGGAGCGACCACCTGGGCACTCCCAGTGCCCCCGGCTGTGCCATGCCCAGCACAGGCACACTGGAAGGGCTGGCCCTGCGTGCGAGCAGCGTGTCTGGTGCATCTGTGACCCCAAGCCCCAGGCTGTGAGGCCTGGCAGGGAATGCCGCGTCCCGCTGGCCTCGCAGATGGCCTAGGTCTGCCCAGGGCAGCCGCCCGCGCCTGGCCCTGAATGCCCGTTTTGTTGGCAGCCTGGGGGAGGACTTGCCCCGCGCTGCCCTGGTCCTGCTGCTCCATGAATGCGGCAGTGTGTGCACACAGCGCCGCAGGGCTCAGCTCCCGCCGGCCGGGGGCAAAGGTGGCCCTGGGGCTGCCAGGGCTGGGGGCTGCTGGCTCCCAGCCAGCCTGGCTGTGCATCCCGAGGCAGATGGAGAAGGGCCCTGCATCAGGCTGAGCAGAGCCCGCCGTGAGAGCCCCCGTGCCGTGCCATGCCGTGCCATGGGAGCTGCCAGGGAAGGTGTGTCTGCAGGTGCACGCTGCCAGCCCGAGGGGTTGCCACGGCGAGGCCAGGGTGCTGTGAGCTGGTGCTGTAAGCCTGGGAAAGATTTCTGTTTCCACTGGTGAGTGAGTCAGCGGCGGCACCGCCAAGGCCCGGGCTCCCCTCCCTTCCCTCCGGCCCCCGCCCGCTGCCCAGCCCTTTCCCACAGCTGCTCGGGGTCGTCAGCCTTGGCACCTGTGTCCCCACGTCACAGCACGTCCCCGCGCCGCCCTGCGCTCCTGGAGACTGACCAGAGGCCCTGGTGGCACCAGCGTTCTCCCACCAAACCTGTCCCAGCATGGGCAGCAAATGGGAGGGGCACAGGACGAGGGCTGTGGCACTGAGCCTTCTGCTCCCCGGGATGCCCTGGGGGTACTGGCAGGGCTGGGCACCATGTCCCGAGCAGAGCCCTCTGCCAAGCCCCTGCTCCTGCAGCCTGGCAGTGCCCAGAGAGCTGAGCTGCAGGGGATCCAGGCGGAGGCAGCTCCTGCGGTGGAACAAGGACTGAAGTTTGGTGTACCCTCAGTGGGTGCCAACAGACTGCAGCCACGGGCAAGCTCTGGCCGGGATGTCACCTGCCCTTCCTGCCCACCCAAAGAGCGGCCACCCCCAGCTCAGCTCAGCCCCGAGACAGCTCAGCACTGGGCTGGCACCCTGGGGAGAGCAGGACGCCAGCCTGGGCAGCGGGGCCAGGAAGGAGGCAAAACCACCACAAACAAACCAGCCCGGCCAGTAACTGAGAAGGGGGGTGGGATCAGGGCTCACTGCCCGGCTGCACCGAGGACAGGAGGAGATTTTGGGCACCAGAGCCACCTGCCCAGATGGCCTCAGCTGCCCTTCCCCAGGCGCCACGTCGCTGTCACGGGGGCTTCGAGCACCACAGCCCCCCAACATCCCTGCTCAAGCTTCATTTGCTGCTTGCTGCTGAACGGAGAGATTTTAATCTTTTAATCACGTTATGAGCCGAGGTGGTGCCGGCCACGCACAGGAGGAATGTCTGGAAGTCAGCAGCGGGAGCCCATCCTGCCCCCACCCACGTGTGCCCACTGGGTCCTGCTTGGGGACTCCTGTCCTCCCCAGCCTGGCTTGTCCTGCGGCTCAACTGGGACCAGGGGCACAACGTGGCACCAGAGAGCAGGACCAGCCATCGGGGACCCGTGCCAGAACAAGGATCAGCTCACAAAGGGCTGCTGGGCCTGGAACTCCCCTCCACAGCCCAAAGGACCCCACACAACTCCAGCCATGTGGGTTTCATTCCTTCCTGCCCTGTTTTCTGACCGAGGGGAGCACAGGGGTGTCCGTAGCCCAGCCCAGCACAGCACGGAGCCACGGCAGCCCCTGCGGAAGAACAACAAAGCCCTGGAATTAGAGATGTGCTGGGAGTTTACTTTACCACTAAAAAATGTCAGAAATCCGTATTGTTTGTACAGGGATTTGCTGGGGATCGCTAGATAAAAGCCTGGCAGGGACCCAGTCGGGGGAGAAAAGCCGGCCGGCTCCTTTTTGGTGGCAAAGACCCACGGCCAAGCGAGGGGGCTGTGCATGGCAGGGACAGGGGCAGGGAGGGCAGGTGGTGCCGTGAGCCAGAGGAGGCTCTGGGAGCAGCGTGGGGCCAGCAGAGGGGGAGCCAGCTGCCCCACGCCTGGCACCAGCTCCGGGTCTCCGCAGCGGGAAACCTTTCCGCATGCAGGGACGCGGGCGGTGCCAGCTCCGCAGCGCCGGAGCGTGCGGGGCCCGGCGGGGCCGAGGGGCCGCTGCCCGCACCGGGCGGGCAGGGACGGGGCTGCTCTCACCGGGGCCCCCCGGCAGCCCCGCGCTTGCCAAGCCCGGAGCAGCCCCGGGGCAGCTGCTCGCCGTGCCCACGCTCAGCTGCTCCGCTCCGGGAGCAGCTCGGGCTGGACAGTGCCAGAGCTGCTCGCCAGGACCGGCAGCGACCCGGACCCTCCTGCCTCTGCAGCGCCCTGGCACCGTGCCGGTGCTGCCGGGGAACGTGGGGTGCCCGCCCTGGGCAGAGGTGCCTGCAAGGCGTGCCAGAGCTGTGACAGCAACCCCTGGCACTCCTGGCCGTGGAAGTCGGGTCGGGGGATGAGGATGGCGAGGGACAGGGACAGTGAGGGATGGGGACGGTCAGCACCCACCCTGCCCACCTCCAGACAAATGACAGCACACGCAGCCCGCTCTCACATCTGTTATGTTTTAGTACTGCTCATGTCTAAAATGAACAAAACCAAGCCAAGCAGCCCCTTGCTCTGCCTCACACGGAGAGGGAGAGGCCCGAGGGCTGCCCTGCCCAGTGCTGGGTGCGGGCAGGGGAGAGGGCAGGGGAGAGGGCAGGGGAGAGGGCAGGTGTGCAGGTTATTGTGAGGCTGGACACCCCGGGCAGGCTCCTCCACACCTGCTGCCGAAGGGGACTTGCACGGCTCCAGTGAATGCATTTAAATAACAAACTCATGATCAGCAAAAGCAGAGGCATCTTAACCACACTTCCTAAAATAGCGGCTGGCACCTGTTCCTGGCGCCTGGCAGGGAGGGGGCCCGCCCGCCCCACGGGGCACACACAGGGCACAGGGCTGGCAGTGGTGGCACTCAGGGCCGGGCTGGGGGCAGTGCAGGATGTGCTCGGTGCGCTGCTGCAGGGCGGGCGGTGCCAGCAGGGGCACAGGGATGCAGGGCTGGGCTCCTCCGTGTCCCAGGAAGGCGATGCTGGCCGAGCTGCCACGGCCCCAGGGGCCACGTTGTCACAGGGGTGTCTGCTGGGGGCTGCTCTTGCGTGCTCCCCCTGCGGGCACGGTGCAGGTGATGGCCATAGCAGAGGGGCAAGGGTTTGGGGTGGGAGCCGGGCTCTTGCCACAGCCCTGGCTGGAGCAGGGGTGCCAGGGCCAGGCTGCGTCAGGGTGCCCCGGGCAGGCACGGCGCAGGGTGGGCACAGGAGTGCAGTGGGACCCGCCCGGGCACTCAGACCACGAAGCGGAGCCCGTAGGTCATCTGGTGGCCGTTGTCCCAGGCATAGAGCACCTTCTCCTTGGGGTTGTAGTCGACCTGCGTGGTGAAGGAGTAGTGGTTGAGGAAGGGCAGTCGGAGCTCTGCCTCCGTGTCCGTGTGCGTGTCGAAGGCGTAGGAGATCTGCCCTTCCTTCTGGCTGTAGGTGTCCACAGCGTAGAGGATGCCACAGATGATGAAGCAGTTCCCGTAGGAGTTGCGCTTCAGCCCCGTCTTCCAGGTGGTTTCCTTGCGCACCGAGAGGTCCACGGGGTCCAGGCGGCTGAGGACGATCACCTCCTGCTGCGAGTAGTCGTAGTCCACCGAGGGGTAGATGACCCAGAGCCCGCTCTCATCCACAGCGAAGTCGATGTCCGAGTGGCCCCTCCACTTCCAGGGCGTCGTGTCCTCGTACACCACGTCGTGGAGCTGCGCCCAGCCTGCCACGTACCGCTCCTTCAGGTCGTACTTGATGATGTTCTTGGTGAAGGCACGGTTGTAGTAGAAGGCCCCTCTGTACACCACGTGCCCGGTGCCAATCCAGTTGTAGGGCAGCTTATAGAGGTTGCTCCAGCGGCCTGTGGGTGGGTGGGAGAGGTGTTGGAACCCTCCACATGCGCGATGGCCAGAGCATGCTGGCAGCAGCAGGGGATTTGTGTTACCCTTGCTGCCCTCTGCATGCCCCCCTCAGCTGCCCACCGCCCCAGGGCCCCACACAGCACTGCCCACCCACCCAGGAGGAGCCAGGGCCCCTGTGCCCCCTCACCCTGCTTGAAGTTGTCGAGGCTCCTGAACTCCACCAGGCTGTTCCCATAGTAGTAGTTGGTGACGTAGATGCGGTCATCCTTGGCAGCCGGGTCCTTCATCCAGGCCCCCTCGTTGCGCCCGTAGCTGTGGTGCTCCCTGGGGGGCTCCACTGCCTCGATGGTGCCTTCGCACTCCGCCTCCTTCACTGGGTGCCCAGGGAGGAAGAGGAAGGCTTACCCCTGCCCGGGCAGCTGACTCCTGCTCCTTCCCGCTGGCTTGGCTTGGCCAGGGGCACTGGGAACAGGGGCTGGGGGCCCTCTCCAGCCGCCCCCCGCTCACCCACCTCTGTTGGGTGTCTCGGGGTCCCCGGTGCTGTCAGGGCCCTGCCCCAGGGCGGTGCTGTGGGGGGCCAGGGCGGTGCTGGGTGTAGCTGTGCTGCTGGGCACGGGGGTCTCCGTCTGTGCAACAGCTTGGGCTGGGGTGCCCTCAGCTGAGGGGGGCGGGGGGCCCCTGTCCTCTTGCTGCTCTGACACAGCTGCCCCTCTCACAGAGCCCTCTGTGGGGGGACGAGCCGGGGGTCAGTGTGTTGGCAGGGGCAGGACCTGGCCCCCCGGCTCGGTGAGAGGTGCTCCCCAGCCCCCCAGCCCTGCCCTGCCCCTAGACTCACCACGGCTGCTGGTTGGACCCTCTGCTGCTCCCACCTGCCCGACCTTGTAGTAGGTGATGCCTCGAACCACAGTCTGCTGCTGCGCCAGGGGCTTGGGCTTGGCCGTGGGCTGTGACCCTGCCCTGGCCTTGCTGTTCTCCTTTTTGGGCTTTTCAGGCTTCAGCGGCTTCTCCTTGGGCGCTCGGGGGCCTGCCTTGTCCCCCAGAGCCTTGCGGGGGCTGGGGTACCGCCCTGCCTCCTTCTCTCGGCCACCTGTCGTGTCCTGGGGGGCACAGCCTGGTCAGACCCCTCTCCTTCCTATGCCCTCCTCTGCCCTGCCACCACCATGCCAGGCAGTGGGCACAGGGGTTACCCCAAGGATCCTCCACAAGCCTGGGGGAGCTTTGCTCTGCCTGGCAGCTCCCACTGCCTGCATGGGGCTGGGCCCTGGGGTACCCGAGCCCTGGGGTACCTGTGCCCTGGGGTACCTGAGTCCTGGGGTACCTGAGCCCTGGGGTACCTGTGCCTTGCTCTCAGGGATGGCAGCCGCATCCTTCTGCAGCAGCTGGTAGCCCAGGTTGGAGATCTCCTTCTTGATGCTGATCATGATGTCAGAGTAGTTCTCGTAGCGTTTCATCTGGTCGGTGAGGTGCTGGACGCTCTCCTTCATGAAGTCATTCTCCCTGCTCAGGTTGGTCTTGATGGTCTGCAGGAGAGGAGAGGCGAGGCTGGAGCCCGTTCAGGGAGCTCACGGGGGGAGCACTGCGGGGATGGGGCTGCTGGAGCTCGCTCACCTCCTCCAGCGTGTTCATCTGTGCCACCACCTTGCCGATGTAGGAGTGCACCTTCAGCAGGTCCATGCTGTACAGCGTTCCCTCCAGCAGGTCCACCATGGCCTGCAGCTGCAGAGGGGCCTGGGGTAAGGGCTGGGGCACGGGGCATGGGGCACGGGGCACAGGGCACAGGGCACGGCGTGGGGAGCAGGTCTGGCCCCCAGTCCCACCACACCACAGATACCTTGAAGAGCTCAGGGGCCTGTTTCTTCAGCTTCTCCATCTTCCACTCGTTCTCGCAGGGGTTGAGCGAGGAGGGCGGCGCGGTGCAGGAGCACTTGCAGTCGGCCCCCGAGCTCACGGTCTCCACGGTGTAGAAATCCTCCACGCGCGCGCTGCCGCTCCTGACGCGGCTGCAGGCGTCCTTGCTCAGCGGCCGCAGGATGCACTTGCAGCGGCAGTCGGAGCCCTCTGAGGTCATCCGGACCTGGTCCACATCACCCAGAGCCTGCAGGACATGTGATGAGTCCGGTGTCCCACCCGGGTGTCCCTCAGGGCCTCGCCAACCCCAGCAGACCATCACAGCCAGCTCCCTCCCTGCCGCTTGCCCAGGGATGTCCCGCTGCCCCTGGGGCCCACAGCTGTGCCCAAAGGAGTGAGGCACTGTCTGGTCCAGAGCACCCTGCCCCACCGCTCTGCAGCCGGGCTGGCCGAGACAAAGCCCAGGGAGCTGCTCATCCCTGCAGTGCTTTGTGGCCCAGGTACTTCAGCCTCATTTCCGTGGCTGCTTCCCAGCCTCCAGCAAGACCTCAGCGAGCAGGGACGGTGGCAAGAAGACCCAGCAGTGCCTCTGTGCCCCCGCGGCACGGCTCCGAGCCCACACAGGGTCCCTTGTTCGTGGTGACATGCAGCCACCTCGGGGTGAGCTCGGCCCCTCGGTCTGCCGCGATGGCCCCAGGCGCAGGCTCAAGGACTCCCTTGTTTCCACACATGGCCCTGATTCACGCTACACAGCCCAGGGTGCTTTTCGGCTGGTTCAGCTCATTTCTCCCGCTGTGCTCAGGAGCAGCGGAGCTGAGTCCCTGCCACCCCCTGCCACAGGCTGTGCACCTGCGGGGGACCCCCGGGCTGGCAGCAGCACGGCCAGGCCGCTCTGGGTGTCCCATGTGCGGGGATGTGCCTGCTCCAAGCGTCCCGGAGGGTGGGAGGGCAGCGAGAGGCAGTGCGGTGACCCCGGAGGGACAGGGCTCTGCCCACAGGGACTCTGACTCATCCTGGGAAACAGAACGGTGGCAGAGCTGGGAAACAAGCTGAGCTGCGGCTCCCGGTGCTCCCCGGAGCACAGAGCGGCGTGGGAAAGGGCAGAGGCCCGCGGGCTCCACGTCCTGCCACAAGGCAGCACCAGGGATGCTCCGTGCTGCGCCGCAGGGACGCTGCCCTGCTGGCACCGGGGCGCTCCCTGAGCCGGGCAGGGACCCCCCCACAGCCCACCCGGGCCAGGGGCTTCCCCCCTTCATGGAGGGCTGCAAAACTTCACACATTTTGCATTTCAAAAAACCCTCTTTCGTTCAAAGGGAAACCAGGTCCTGCTGGCTGAAGGGAAACACCAGGAAGCCAAAGGGCTGTAAATTGAGCAGAATCTAATCAAGTTCTCAGCAGGGAGCGCGGCAGAGACCCCCTCCCCAAACACCACCTCCCCGGGGCCCCTGACCTCCCCCCTGGCCACTGCGGCGCTTGTGCAAACAGGCAGGAGGGCTCTGAGTCTCCCTCCAGAGCTGCCCGCACTCAGCCAGCAGCCCCGGAGCCGGGCTGTCCCGGCCGGCAGCGTGCCCGGCACTGCCCGGTGAGAACGCATCCTGCAGCAATCCCAGGACAGACCCCGGGGTGCCACTTCAGCTCCAAGCTGGGTCCCCCGTTCCTGGCAGCACCCGCAGCAGCAGCCGCCGGTGAAGGTGCCCCGGCTGCAGCGCAGCCCGACCCCGGCACATGCTGAGACCCCTGCTCCCAGCCCCTTCTGCAGGGCACGGCTGCAGCTGAGCTGGAAGCTCGTTCCTGAGGGAGCGGTGACCCTGGGCTGAGCATCCCCTGCCTCGGCCCCGGCACGCTCTGCTGTGCCCTGCCGTGCCGTGCCGTGCTGTGCCGTGCCGGGCCGGCAGGCACGGGTCCCGCAAGTCCCGCTGAGGCTGGGCTGAGCAGGCGGTGCGCAGAGCACGAACCCACCCGAGCAGCTGTGACACTGCACAGCGTGTCACAGCTCCTCTCCCACGCATGAAGGGCCATCCCCTTCCCAGAGACCCGCCCGGCTCCGGCCACGTCCGTCCCGGTGGGCAAAGGCGCCGCGGGTGTCCCCGCACCGTGCCCGGGTGTCCCCGCACCGTGCCCGGGTGTCCCCGCACCGTGCCCGGGTATCCCTGCACGGTGCCCGGGTGTCCCCGCACCGTGCCCGGGTATCCCTGCACGGTGCCCGGGTGTCCCCGCACCGTGCCCGGGTATCCCTGCACGGTGCCCGGGTGTCCCCGCACCGTGCCCGGGTATCCCTGCACGGTGCCCGGGTGTCCCCGCACCGTGCCCGCGTGTCCCCGCACCGTGCCCGGGTATCCCTGCACGGTGCCCGGGTGTCCCCGCACCGTGCCCGGTTATCCCCGCACCGTGCCCGGGTGTCCCTGCACGGTGCCCGGGTGTCCCCGCACCGTGCCCGGGTGTCCCCGCACCGTGCCCGGGTGTCCCCGCACCGTGCCCGGTATCTCCACACCGTGCCCGGTATCTCCACACCGCCCGGACCGCCGCCCACCTCCGCGTGGGGCCGTAACACTAAACCTCGCTGCGCCGTCTGCCAGCTTCCCTAAACAGGAACTGCACGCTCTATTTATACAGAAAAACCCATAAGCGAGGAAGTATTAAAGAACAGGCTCCCACGCGGGGAGACGCTGTGAGGGTCGCCCACCGCGGTGCCTCGGCTGTGCCCCCTGTCAGCGTGTGCCCGGCTGTGCCCGACCCCGCAGGGGACAGCTCACCCCAGGGCACGCACAGGTGGCTGGGGACGTGAGTGCAGAGGGCAGCCCATGCTGCTCTGCTCTCTCCAGGTGGGAATCTGTGAGCTCCCCAAGAAACCTGCTGAGGTGCTCCCCAAGAAACCCTGCCCTGCAGGGGCTCTGGGGATTCTTTCCCTGGGTCCCCCACCCGTGGCAGACCCCAGCCCAGGGTGCTGGCAGGTGGCTGCTGCCTCTCCTCTCTCCCCGGGGGCTGCACACCCATGGCTGTGTGGGAGAGTGTCCCTGCACTTTGCTGAGGGTTTCCTCACTGCAAGTTTTATGAGCTGGGTAATTTTCCCGGTTTCCGGGACCTCTTGCAAGAGCATCCATGTGAGCACAGAGTTTGTGACATTATTTGGAGAAAGCGGGACCTTTGACAGTGACCCTTGGCCAGCTTTTAAGCTGTCCCTCGGCTGCTGCCAGAGGACTCGTCTCAGAGGAAAACACGCTGTGTTGATAAGCTGCTGGGAGGCATGTCCCCGTCACAGAAGGGAAACCATGTCACCCTGCTCTTCCTCCTCCTCCCAGGCTTGGCACAAGGTGTCAAACACGTCCTGCAGCTGAGGCAGAACGGTGCTGGCAGGGCTGGGCCGTGGCTGACGGCGGCCAGGCCCCGGGCGCTGGCGCTGCCTGGGCGTCCCGTGTTGGTCACGGGGACACAGCCGTGCCAAGCGCCGGTGTGGCACACGCATGCCCACCGGTGGGATCCCATCCAGCGGCAAGAGCGGAGGAAACACCTCTGAGCACAGCAGGCAGCACCTGCGGGGAGGGAGGCGGCAGCGCGTGGGTCGCCGAGTCCTGCCAGCATCACCCCTGGCACGCCGCCGGGAGCCCAAGCAACAGGGCATTCCAGCCTTTGGATATCTGCTCCAGGCTAAGCGCTGCCCGACAACAGCTGTGTCAGCGTCGTTTCCCACCAAATGTCTCGGAGAATCCTGCCTTTTTAACATTTGGTGATCCTAGCAGTAGCTGCTCCCACCGCCGTTCCTCTGGGCTGGGTGCCGGTGTCCCCGCTCCGGCCCCGCTCCGGCCACTGACCCCGTGGGAGACGTCTTCCAGCTGCACCGAGGGCTCCGGGACGCACGGGGGAGGCTGACTCCCGCTGCCCGGTGCCGCTCCTGCTCCTCACCCCCGCGGGGCAAGGCTTGTCTGGGCTGCTCTCCCTGGCACGGAGTCGCTCCCCGCAGCGCCGCAGCGCCGGGGCTTGGGCACCTTCCAGCCGCTCGAACGCGCCCACAGCCCGGGTCGTTCCCTGCGCCGAACGCCCGCCGTGGGAGCACCGGCACCCGAACCGGCCCTTCCCGGGACCCCCGCCCGCTCCGCCCGGGCACGGAGAGCAGCGACCGCCGGGGACACCGGGGTGCCCTGCCCGCTCCCGACCACCGCCGGGATCGCTCCGGCCGCGATCGCGATCCCCGTCCCGGTCGCCATCCCGATCGCGGTCCCGACCGCAGTCGGTGCCGGTGCCGGTCCGGCCCGTCCTTACCGTGGCGGCTCCGCGCACCGCGGCCAGCGCCGGGAGCAGCAGCGCGGGGAGCAGCAGCGCCCGCATGGCGAGAGCGGCGGTGACCGCCCGCACCGAGCGCCCGCTCCGCCCGGCCCGGGTGCCCGCCGTGCCCGCCGTGCCCGCTGCCCGGGCCGGGGCCGGGGCGCGCTCGGGGGTCGCTGCTGGCCGCGGGTCCCCGCGGACGGGCGGCGTGTCCCGCGAGTTTATCCGGCTCGCAGAAATCGCCCTTTGCCGGGGCAGCCGCGGTGCTCCGAGGTGCCGGGGCTGCCCCGCCGGGCCGGGCCCGGCCGTGCCCCGGTGCCCCGCGGGTGCCGTGGCTCGGCCCCTGCCCCGGGTTTATGGGCACCATTTGGGACCCTTTTACACTTCCCGTATGCAGATGCCGCATCTGCACTTGAATGTCCCTGCCAATTTTTATGGTTTACAATTGCATTTTACCATCTTAAGGTACTCGGGTTCTCTACAAAGGGTTTGCTCAGACAAAAGAGGCTTTTTATCAGGCAGCATCCTCGCTTTTCGAGATACAGGCGGCTCCAAAAGATAGGCAGTGTGGGAACGGCAGAAATGGGCATTTCTGGAAGCGCCCCGATGTGCAATGTTGAGTTGTCCCTGGAAGCTCTTTATTCCCCCTCACTTAATTAGATGTCCAATTGGATGAAGGACACTTAATACTCTTAGATACTTTAATAACGCTCTAATAACACTCTTAATGCTTTAATATAGCCTTAATACTTTTTGAACTTTCTGGTTTAATTTGTGAAGTGTCTGTTGCTTTAGTGTCCCTAAGAGTACAACAACATTAATGCTCTGTCTGCATTTGCTAATTTTCCCGCAGATGTGGGATTTTGGGGGAAATCTCTTTTGATTAATCAGATTAGCTTTAAGAGTTTCTTGTGACAGACGTACCTGTGGCTGTGGTTAGTCTTTTGAATGGGTGATGTAACCACCTTTTACTACTTTGCCTTCAAAAATGTGAAATGCTGGTGCGGTGTTGAGACATTGCCTGACCTTCAGTCTTTCTAAAGCCTCTGGGGGAGGAGCAGGAAAGATTGGGTTGTTAATTCATGGTTTTATAAAATACCTGCAAATGGTAATGGCAAATGAAGACTCTGAATATTTCGTTTTCTTAAGAAAGATTCGTGGTACTTTTGGTACCTAGAGGAACAACATCTTAACAAAACCAGTGAAAATTGAGGTATAAAAGTCCGATTGCATTCTTGGTGTTAAAATGTTAATGTTAAAATCATTAATGAACTTAAGCTGTGCACGTGGCTTCTGTGTTAACCCAGAGTAAACTGCTGCAAGTTTATTGGCGCCTTCAGTGAGAGAAGGCTCGGGATAACTTTGAAATGCAGGGTGTAGTTTTATTTCAGCAGTTTCAGGCAATTGCAGGCTCATTATTTGAGGGGACACTTGACGTTCTTAGAATATAAGATGATGGTTTTCCCTTGGCAATTTGAGTACTTCCTCTCCCATGTAAGAAACAGATTTTGCCATTGAGCAAATCAATAGCAACGCGGAAAACCTGGGTTTTTTTAAAAGCAATTTCACTAAGACATTCATTTTTCCTGCAGTAGCAGCAATTATTTCTCAACAGGATCCCATTTAAGATCAGCCTTTCTATAGCTTCAATTGGCATATTTTTCCTCTGTGAGTGAGACACAGTGGCTTTTACGTAGTTTTAATTATTTCATGTCTTATCTAAAATAGGGACACGACAGATAGAATTAAAGTAACTTTGGTCACTTTGTTGTGTACTGTGGTCTTGGAAGACAGATTTATCAGGAAACTAAACAGAAAACTTGAATTTTGTGTTCCCGTAAAACTATCAGAGCTTCAGATGGGCAGATTACTGATCTGGATAAACTTCATACCAGAGAAAAGAGGAAAGTTGTCAGAGCACAAAGAATGTAAGGTTTTCAAAGAAAAGTCCCTTTGCCTGCATCCCTTCCCTTTCCACAGCATTCCCAAACTTTACTGGCACACACTGACATTTTTAGTGGTTCTTTATGCTTGGTTGCTTTGCATCTGATGAGATAAGCCTTTGCTTAACAAAGACTATTTCATTGATATAGTTGGGTCTTAGTTTACTTGCTATAAACATTTCTTTGAAGATTTAGGAAGAAAAACAAATGGAGTTGTCGAATGGCAACGCTGCTGAAGTCAAATGTCTCTGAATAAACAAGAAGCTACAGTGTTATTTCAGCTCAGTGTTGGCTCGTTGAATGTGGATGTCTCTTGCTTTTGTAAATAATAATACTTCAGAATCCTATGCATTTTTTTCTCAGTTCTGTGATGGGAAATGGAAGACTTGTAATTTAGGAACTGCTTATCTCCTTTGTTTGATTTGATGGTAAAGATGGAAAAATACCTCTTGGTATAAAGTTGGAATTTGGTATTGATGGCTTCTGTAGATCATTAATCAGGAAAATGGGTTTATGCATGCCTTTTTGTGCTGAGCCCGGGACTAGTGCTGGATGTTGAGCAGATGCAGTGTGTGATGTGACACTGCAACAGCAGGATTTTTTTCCCTGCTTTGCTATGAAACAATATAAAGATATTGAATTATAGAAAATCAGGGAACTTTCCCATCTGGGAGACTAATTCTTGATTGTTGGGCAGCAGTAGCTATCTTTCTGTCCTGCCTCTGGCAAGTCCTTTGTGGTATTTCTTTTTTTTGGTGGGGAAAACGTGCCAGTGGTTTATTGAATTACTGTTCAACTCCTACGTGGTGGAGCTTTGAGCAGATGCATTTACACCAGCATTCTGTGAGAATGGGAGCACAGTTTATCCTGTTGATAAACTGCCTATTTAAATAAAGCCTTCAGCAGTGTAATCTGGTAATTCTAATTAAGTCATTTACATAGGGAATTGGCCCAGGGTTTCATCAGATGGCTGCTGGGGAGCTGAAATGCATTCTTTCCCTCCAGCTGTATTAAACCAGCCTTTTGATCCTGTCCTTTTTTAGCCTTTAAGCCAAAGTGGTTATCACTGTGCAGAGTTAATTGAGAAAGGGAAGTTGGGGGACAAGGGGGCCCTTCGAGCTTTAGCTTTGGTCTTAATTATTACAGTTCTAATTACATAATTAGAAGACTTCCAGATTTTATGTGTTGATAAAAATGATTCTGTACGGGTTTTGTTAGAAAGAGGAAATCCTCCGCGGAGAGGCTGGCTTCAGTGAAGTTCTTTATTGGTAAACGATTGCCAATAACTTATCTTGAAAGCAGTATATGCCTGGGGTATCTGAGTTCTCCCCAGCACTTCGATAAGGAGGTTTCATTTACCCAGGGTGGACCCTGCGGCCTTCAGAGAGCACAAGTTACATGTATGCCTTCCATTGCCTAATCATCCCAGCTGGAGGCTTGCAGAGGTGGTGAAATTTAAACTTACAGAAATTTCTGGTCAGTATGAAAGATTAATTTTTTAAGCCCTTTTTTCATTTGTTAAAAAAAAACAACAAAAAAAACCCCAAAAAAACAAAACAACCCCAAAACCCAGTAAAAATCTATCACAGCTCTAACACCAAACTGCAGACTGCTGTGATGCTCTTGTCTGGAAATCCCTCCCAGCTGAAACTTGAGGGGAAACCTTCAGTAGATTTGATGGGAACATAATCTGGCCTGTGATGTCCCTGGGACAAAATTCTCATGTTGGATGAAGCCTCTGCAGCTGTTCCTGCAGGAGATGTGTGTGCAGTGTCTGCAGGTGCTCGGGGTGGGCTCCCTGTGCCCACCACTGCAGGTGCTGTTCCCTGGGCTGTGGATGAGCAAGGCAGGCTTTATTCTGATCAGCTGCTGCTCAGCAGCCCAGGGTTTACCCTGGGAATTGCTGCAGAGCCCTCAGGTCCTCAGTCCAAGTGATTAAATGATGGCTGTTGTGGCTGTAGTAAAAATTTGTAAAGGAACTCTGCGTCTCTGAAAGTTCTGCCAAACACCAGCTCGTCCTCCAAAAATCTCTTCATTCAGCTCACAGCTGTAGCTTTATGTTGTTTGGCAACGCTTACGAGGAATTATTCCTAAGTATGTTGTTTCAGATGTCTTGTGAGTGCTTTTGCCAGGAGACTCTCTATCCTCTGCCTGTTTTATCAGCAGTGCTAAGGAAATGCCCTTTGTGTGGGTCACAAGCAGGGGCTGCTCTTACCTGCACATTTACTGTACTCGTGGTGGTGCACAGAGCTGAGGGGAGCTGAGGAAGGTGCCAGTGTTGGGTGCCAGTGTTGGGTGCCACCAAGCTCGGGGTGTGGCTGCTCGGTGCCTCCTGTGTGCTGCTGCTTTGTGAAGCTTTTCTTTGCCCAGTTCTGTTCTCCTGCTTACCTGGCACTGCCAGTTGGGGTCCATCACCTCAACACTTGAGCTGACCTTTAGTATTTCACTGGGATTTACATAAGGCCTCTGCTCAGTGAACTGTCCCTATCACAGGATGATATCCATAAAAATGACACTTCCTCGTCTTGAAAAAAATCCCCAGGCCCATTGGAGACATGTGAAAAGGACACCCAGCAGGAAGAGAGGCCCATGGCCTGAAATATTCATCAATCATTTTCCTGGCACCAGGAAACCAATCAACTCTTCTAAGGGGGAGAGTGCAATCAATCACACGATGTGGGAAACAGGGATCACCAGCCCTGCCAGAAACGTCCCTTCGTGGGGACAGAAGGAAGGGGCTCTGTTGGTCCTTACTCACAAGTGTAACTTACACCCAGCTTTTGTGAAAGGCAGTCTGTGCACACCACGGGCTGTGCTGCATCGCCAGCTCCAGCCTGCACTCAGGGTTTTGTTTTCAGTAATGCTGTGTTGTTTTCTTCTTAGATTTTTTTTAATTTACCTCTTTTCCGTAGCTGGTAGGTGAAGGGTTTGTTTCCTGTTCCCAAACCTCCACGTTCTGAAGTGGCAGGTCCAGCAGCAGCATGTTTTTATCTAGAAGATCAGAATTTTAAAGTTTTGCTCCTTTTTTCATGAAACAACAAAAGTTTGAAACAGCTTCTATTGCAAACTGGTACTGGGGGAGAAATGCACTTCTGGGGGTTTGACCTTTTCTTCTGTCTTTGGGTTGTGTTAAAAGAAGTGTATGTAGATTGCCCAATAATAAGTGAACTGTAG